ACGGTATCAGCCCCAGATCACCTGCCCCCCATCTGTGTACAGAAACGGCCTTCTCTCTTCCCAGCTGCTGTGCAGGGGAGAGCAGACCCGACTCCACCTGACCCCCACGCGTGACGGTCCCTGCTTCGCAACATGTCCAAGCACCTCAGTTACCTGAAAGGACGCCGCTGAATTCTCAAATCTTTAACTTACTTTAAGTATTTTCCATAAGCACCTGTGTGACCATACGTGTGTGCGGAGCTGGGGACTCTGTTGCAAAATTAAATGGCACCAGAAAGCCCTGCGCTGGGCACAGCAGGTGGAGGAAGAGTACCTGCCAGCTTTCAGGGACGTATCTCTTGGAAGCGCCTTCCGTATTTTACTTCACGCCCGACTAGAAGGTCCTTCCTCAATGCCGAGGTCACCCAGCTTCCTGTTAGCTTCGGGCAGACCCAGGAAGCGGGGCAGCATCTGAAAGATCTTCTCTAAGGAGAGTCCCCCCCTTAGAGCGCCACCCCTGGTGGAAACCTAACCTAAAACAAGGCATTGGGAACCTCAGGCTGAGCAGCTGGGCCTTCCGGAGACCACGCTGTGACACGCACTGGCGCCAGGCCACCAAGGCGGGCTCGATGTGATTGGTCGGGGGGCCCACCATCGCCCCATGATCGCCCCGCAGAGGGAGGCCCAGGCCACCCGGCCGGCAGCCACAGAGGGAGGCCCAGGCCACCCGGCCGGCAGCCACAGAGGGAGGCCCAGGCTACCCGGCTGGTGGCCCTGCAGCAGGTGGGCGGGGCCTCCCTCTGTGGGGCGATGGATCTGGGGGCCCTGCGATTGATCGCCCCACAGATGAGGAGGCCGGCGACGCTGTAGGGGGTGTGCAGGGCCGGCCAGTGATCGCCCCGCAGAGGGAGGCAACCAGTGGCGGAGGGGAGGTGGGGGGGAGTGCAGCAGAGATGGCAAGCAGTGGCAGTGGCGGGGGCCAAGCCAGCTGCCGGCAGCCGGGGGAAGGAAATCCCCGATAGGCCCTGATCGCCGGCCAGGCCCAGGGACCCTACCTGAGGGGTCCCGGATTGCGAGAGGACGCAGGCCGGGCTGAGGGCCACCGCGTGACCCCCACCCCCACCCCCTGCACGAATTCCGGGCACCGGGCCTCTAGTCTAAATATAATTCACCCAGTGGCTGTGTTGGGAAAAGGAGTCTGCATTCTTCTTCAGAACCGCAGGGAATGAGCCACTCTAGATAAGATGTTAAATACCCTTTCTAGGTGCCATACTTGGCTTTCTGCCTGCGATTTCCTCATCTATAGATCAGAGGTAATTACACTTACCTCACAGGCCACACGGCTTTTTAACATGCATCTCAAATGATGCCTCCGTGAGCGGCAGGACAATGGTGGTGTTATTATGCAATTTGCTGCCTCCTTAAGAGCTCGCTGAACACAATTCAGCTTTTGGAGATGACTCAGACCCGTTAGTGGGTCAGCGGAGAGCAGCCTAATTACTCAGCTCCGTGTTAGGTGCAATCCCCCATGGAGCAGAGGCGTGTGTAGACAAGCTACCCTGCAAGCCTGCGAGGCTCTCGAAGAGGTGAGCACACCCTGGGACCACAGTAACTTACTGAATGCTTCCTCTGTGCGATTTCAGGGTGTCTGTGGGGGGCTCTGTCACCAGTGAATGAGTCTAACGGAGGGTCTGCAGCTGGTGGCTCATGTGAACATCGAGGTCACAGAGGACTTCCTGGGGCGGGGGCCTGGCCGGGGGCACAGCAGCAGGGTGCCCTCCGACCCTGTGGGAACGGGGCTGGCTGGGTGGTGCAGCCCAACCTGACCCAGACCAGGGAAACACCCAACCCGAGTGTCCTCACCCGCCCAGCTCGGCACGACGCTCGGTAAAGCCCTCTGTGTGCCCCAGCCCCCCCCACCTCCCCCCAACACCACGAGGTTTCTTCGAGTTCTAAGTCCTGTGGGTCTGTTACTGAGCCCCGCTTCGTAGGGGAGGGAGGGAAGCGGGCAGCAGGGAAGAGCTGATCGTAAGGAAGACATCACATGGGTGAGTGCTACGTGACACGGTAAATCCAGAGGGACCAGTGGTACAATAACAGCCGCACTCACGGACACAAGACCTTGCAGAACACACAGGGCGATGCTTTGACACCCGGCCCTGGGCAAGGCCGCCCACATACCCTCCTCTGGTCGCAACCCTGTGGACGACGCAGGGGTTCCAGGGAAAGGAACCCCACAGGCTGATCCCGTGACGGATCCCTACTGGGCGGGTCGCAGTGGGTATGACACCCCAGGCCCAGAACTTTTTAGCAGGAAGTTTGTCTTTTGTCCATTATTCTGTCACGCAGGCCCACACGCCCGGGGATAAGCTGTGACCGCCCTGAGGAGGCACATACGCTGGTCACTTCTGCAGTTCAAGCCCACCGGCCCCCGCCTCCTGTAAGCGGCCGCGTTCCCTCCTCACCCGCACGCAGAAGGGGCTGTGGACTGCCCTCCCGGAGCACCGGAGCCTTGCGCCCTAGCAGGTCACCCGTTTGGCTCAAATAACCTCATAAAACCCCCTCCAGGCTTGGCGGTCCCTCCGTCCACAGCACTGGATTCGCCGTGGGCACCACTCCCCCGACCCCCGGTCCCTATGGTTTGGGGGGATGAGCCCACCTTTCGCACCAGAGGTGGGCAGAGCTGCAGGCCTGGCCACAGGGTCAGGCTCCTGATGGACACAGCCTCCGCCGGGACAGTCAGAGGGAATGAGGCCCTAACACGGGGCTTCTGCGGGAGCTGCTGGAAGGGTTGCTGAGGCCAGAATGCAGACGAGAGCTGACAGCCCCGTGACCTGTCACCTGCATGGGAAAGGCGCCCACAGAGCACAGCGGAGCGCAGGTGAGCGCCCCCCGTCACACCTTCACCAGCTCTGACCCCAGGGATGCCCCGTCCCAGCTGCCCCCTCTGCTTGGGCCGGTTTGCAGTCTGGGCTACAACCGAAACTCTAATCCGCTCCCTCAGTTTCCAGTGAAGAGCCCCCATAACCACCCCCCGCCCCCCAGGAAAGCACGATTGGCCCACACCTTTCCCTGCACTGATTCCCCAGCGAAGCTCTGGGTCCGAACCTCTAGAGCTGCCGCCCCAGGAACTGAGAGACAGAGCGCTCCTCCCACGAGAAAACCATCCTCCAGCAAAACTGCCCACAGGTAGTTCCGTCATTTTGCAAAAATACAGTATTGGGCACCAGCTGTGGTTATAAGAAATTCAGTCATGTTCTGTGCACCATGATCGCCTCGTTCCGATTAAAGACACTCTAACCTGGCTGGGAGGGTAAGACCCCCAGGACCTGGGAGCCAACCTTGGACCTGGAGTCAGCCTTGGACCTGAAGTCAGCCTTGGAATGCGGCCCATTCTCATTGGAGAACTGCCTATTATCAGGGGAAGATTAACAACCTTGTTGCCCAAACAATGACCACCAGGGGGCAGATGCTCAACGTAGGAGCTGCAGAGCAACAGCAACTTTGCAGAGTGCCCTCTCGCACTCTGGGACCCCTAGGGGGATGTGGGACTGCCGGTTTCGGCCCAATCCCCGCAGGCCAGGCCGAGGGACCCCACCTGCCGAAGGGACCCCTTTGAGCCCTGGCGCCGCCCCAAGTTCGGCCGCCCCAGGAGGGATTACAGGAGGTTGACTCCAGGGCGTGTCCGGCCCCTCTCACCCAGTCCCGCCGGCCACCTTCTAATTAATTTCCTTTCAATGTGCGAGAATCCGTGCACCAGGCCTCTAGTTTTTCATGACGTTTTTTGTATCGAAATATGAGAGCAAAGCACACCCATGCGCAATAGTGCCAGAGCCGCACGGGAAGTCTTTACCTGTGGACGGTGGGAGAGCTACCGCTCAACACAAGCGCGTTTTCCTACCACTCCCTGCAACAGGGAGACAGACTCTCCTGTCCGCACCCAAGCGTTGGAAAGAGCTGATCACAAAATCAAACACAATGAAGGTCAAGCGAAGACATAACCTGGACCGGCCACAGCGCCATGGCTTCCTGTTGTCAGTACAGAGTGATGGGCTTTCCCATCAGAAATTCAACCGGAGAGAAACCCCTGCACCGGGCCCTGGAAACCCAGGCCAGGGCGGCCTTCGCCCAGCCCGGCCCCTTCCATCATTTCCCCATCAGCCGTTTCCCTAATTCCCACATCAGGGGACCAGGAAAAGGGCAGCCGCAGAGGCACCATTAACGATGAACCATCCGCAGGAGCTACAAATCCCAGCCCTGCCAGTGCTCCCAGTGTCTTCAAAATGTTAACTTTTGAAATGAAAGATGTCATTTCTTTTTTACTTTTAATATATTTTTATTGACTTTAGAGAGAGGAAGGGAGAGGGAAAGAGAGATAGAAGCATCAGTGATGAGAAGGAATCATTGACCGGCTGCCTCCTGCACAACCACCCCCAACCCCAACCCCGGCAGATCAAGCCTGCAACCCGGGCATGTGCCTTGACCGGAAATCGAACCATGACCTCCTGGTTCAACACTCAACCACTGAGCCACGCCGGCCGGGCAAAGATGTCATTTCAATCAATGCTCTTATTAATCTCAACGTGCATTTTCAATGCGCTCCATTTCTGAAATGTATGAAGAACTCAGCCTATAGTGACCCCAAGTACACCTGTTTATGGAGCGGATTCCGTCTGCCCCCAGATGGTTCTATCCAGGGCGCGTTCCTCACCATCAATCTTCCTCCCACCAGCTCCTCTAAATATAACCCAGGGCAGCGCCCGTCCCGTCCCCCCGTCCCCCCGTCCCTCAGGGAGGCTCGGCAAGCACTTGCCAAGCCCGTCCTCTGATATTCGGAAGAAATTAGCGACATCACATGAGTTCCTGGCAGCCACTGCGCCTCGGGGGCCTGACATGAAGGAAGTCGGGAACAGTGCACGGTCAGACGGTCACGTCTCTCTCGCTGCTGCTAAACTGGCCAGAAATCGGACTAAATAAGAAAACTTTTCACGTCCTCCCTCCGATTCAATGAGCCCAGAGCCTCTCTGGACAAACAAAATACAGAAGTGTTTAATCTTTTCAAAGAGGCAGGTGATGTGTGGACGGACCAGACAGGGGCCGGGTCTGGGCTAAGGAGCTGCGGCCTCAGCGGGACTGCACGGCCCAGGGCCTGCGCATCGGGCCCGAGAAGAGGGTCCGGGTTCCTGAGCCGCGGGGACGGCTCTCCCGAGTCTACGATGGGCCTTTCTGACGCTATCGAGGCCAAATCCCACGGGACTCAAAGCAGGTCAGGCGGGTGGATGTGGCCACTGCAGTCCTTCGTGGTTCTTCATTTTTCTTTTCTTTTTTTAACATCTTTTTATTGATCTCAGAGAGGAAAGGAGAGGGAGAGAGAGAGAGAGAGAAACATCAATGATGAGAGAGAATCATGGATCAACTGCCTCCTGCACGGCCCCTACTGGGGATCAAGCCCACAACCGGGGCATGTGCCCTTGACTGGAATCGAACCCGGGACCCTTCAGTCCACAGACTCTAACCACTGAGCAAAACCGTCTGTGGCCAGTTTTTCATTTGTCCATCCACTCAGGGGTTTGTCAAGGGCACATGCCCTGCGAAAGGGAGGGTAGAGTACCCTGGAAAGACATCAGTGTGAAAAGAGTTTCCTACCCAAGGTGGCCTGGAAGTTAAGGAATTAAAGGGTGTGTGTGTTTTTAGATAAAAATGTGTGTGTTTTTTAATACATTGTAAAATACGTGTGGGAAAGTGGCAGGACTGAATTAAAGCTGAATAGTTATTTATACCTGTTTCCTGTTCAGCCGGTGACAGCGTTCAGCTGGGATTTCAGAGGCCCTGGATGAAATTTCCCAGAACAGCCCGCGCGCTCGGGGGTCTGCGGGAGGGAGGACCCCGGACACATCCTGCAATTCACACGCTGGGAACACAGGCGCCCTGGGAACGCGGGCGGGAACCGGCAACTTCAAAACAAAGCACACTTCCTCTGCCAAACCGTTTCCAAACGCCCCCCAAGGACGGGAGGGGAGAAAACACGACGCGTCCGGACACAAAGGCAGGCAGCGGGGGCCTTAACAGTCCTGTTGGTGTAATCAGCCGTGCGTTCCTCTGCGTCTGGGAAGTGGACTGTGTGAGCTGGGACCCAAACCACACCGCCACGTGCTGGGTGTCCACCTGGCCCTTCTGCCCAACGCCCACCCACTGGTCACTGGGCTAATGGGCCAGCTTGGGCACCATGAAAGCCAAGACCTCAAATCAGAGACAAAAGATACAGCAAAATAAATGAAATGAAAGGAAACCGAACAACAGCAGAAGAACCGGCCGGAACGAGCGTGGGAGTTGGTAAACGTGAAAGAGAAGAGACGAAGGTGGCGGGTGAGAGGGTGGACGGCAGCGGCCTGGCTCGGAGGGACGAACGCCCGTGGTCCCGGGGCTGACGCGGACCCGCTCCCACCCCCAGTCCCATTGCCCGCTCCAGGCCGCCTCCCCTGGGCCTCGGCCTCCCTCCCACACCAGCACCCCAGCCGGCCCCCCACAACCCATCGCTCTGTCTTAGCATTTATTACATGATCTTGAAATGTCTGTTAACACGCCTGTTGCTTCCAGGAACCCCAGAAAACATGGCAGCTCCTGAGACGCGGAACACGCTCCAGGATGGTTGGGATGGAACCCCAACAGCCACAGGGCCCTGAATCCCCGTTACAGAACGGGACGGCCTTGGGGAGAAACCCCACTGCCCGCTCCCAGCACCGCACACCATGCCGTCCGCACACGACACTTCCAATCAGCACGTGCACCACACGTCTCAGAGGCGTCCACCTGCCATCTGCACATCCCCAGGGGACGCCCTCCCGAGGGACCAGCGCCTCCCATGACCGATGTTCAAGCTACGTCCGTGGGAAACAATTTAATAAAGAAACAGGAGGGACCATGCCCAGCCGCTCAGGGACAGCCAGCCCCATGGACACGCGTGCCCATGACACACCCCGTCGGAAAAGCTCCGTGTGCGCTGTGTGGAGCCTCCCGGGCTCTCCGCACTGGCCTCTCTTCATGGCCCGTGAGAACTGCCACCCGGAGCGGTGGCCTGGCGTCCCCACAGCGCGCTCCGCCAGGTCCAGGCCACCACCGTGCCTCCCGACTCACACGCCAGATTCTAGGTTCAGTCTCACACTCACTGCTTCATGTAGAAAACACTAAGATGGCTGAGCCTGCTTCAAGAAAGATACTTAAATGTTCTGTTTTTAAAAATGCTGAAACAGTCCTTTTAGAAAACATTTTTTAAAAAGCTACAGCCCCAGCTGGTTTGGCTCAGTGGATAGAGTGTCGGCCCTATGGACTGAAGGGTCCCGGGTTCGATTCTGGCCAAGGGCACGTACCTTGGTTGCAGGCTCGATCCTCGAGCCTGGTTGGGGCTCCTGCAGGAGGCAACCAATAGATAATCGATGTGTCTCCCACATTGATGTTTTTCTCTGTGTCACTCCCCCTCCCTTCCACTCTCTCTAAAAATCAATGGAAAAATATCTTCAGGTGAGGATTAACAACAAAAAGCTACCAATTCTACAATTCTACCTTTAAATCAAATCCTACAATTACTCTCATTTCTTATACTTTTTTTAAAAATTGGTTTCAGAGAGAGGAAGGGAGGAATAGAAACGTGGATGAGAGAGAAAAACACCCCTTGGCTGCCTCCTGTGCGCCCCACACTGGGGATCGAGCCAGCGACCTGGGCAGGTGGCCTGACCGGGAATCAAACCGTGACCTCCTGGTTCATGGGTCAGTGCTGAGCCACTGAGCCATGCCAGCTGGTCTTTTTAGAGAAGAGACTGAAGTGGACGGAGAAAGACAGACTCCAGGAGATAGAAGAGGGTGTGGGGACAACAGGGAAAGTTCAAGAGGGGACAGGACGGGCCCCGCGGGCTGACCGCCTGGGAGGGGCAGTGGAGGAAACACAGACAATACAGAAGCACGTGAAGGAGGGAAGGAAGGCTGCTGAAGTTCATGGTTAAGGAGAGATCTTGCCCGGCTGTGGGAGCCCTTGCTGGCTCAGGGGTGGGAGAAAGAACAGGTGCAGGGACCTCTGAGGGGACATGAAGTTGTCACACAGAGAAGGACCTGCAGCCCTGGGTCTGGACGAGACCATACCATGACCGTGACCGTGACCGTGGACAGGAGAGATGCAGGGACACGGGCCGTGGGCGGGGGTCACCGAGGAGGCCGCGAAGAGCTGGCCGCATGGGCGCGGGGCGTTGGAGATGGAGAGGGTCACGGGTCCGGGGAGAGGGCCCCGCGGGCAGCGCAGAGGATGGAGTCTATGGGCATCTGGTCCCGGGACCCGCCGGCTCTGGGCGGCTCTGGAATTTCAGATGGACACAGTGCAGGTCGCCGGCCACGGGCCGGTCTGGCTGAAACACAGTGCACTCCCCGGAGTGAAACAGACGATGAGACAGACAAGTTCACTGCAGACCTGTCTCCCGTGGCGCTGCCGTGAACGAAGTCCCTTTCCCCTTCGCCTGGTCCTCAGGCTTGGACGAGCCGGCGACCACACACCATCCGCCGCACGCAGCCAGGAAGTGATTCACTGACCCCCTCCCCCGGAGGCAGGAAGCCCGGCAAACAATGACGTGAGCCTTAATTCGTGCCTCGCACTTTTCATGATGAAAACACACACTTCAGAAGCTCAGCGGGGCCCAGCCAGCGTGGCTCCGTGGTTGAGCGTCGACCTATGAACCAGGAGGTCGGGGTTCGATTCTGGTCAGGGCACAGGCCCGGGTTGCGGGCTGGATCCCTAGTGGGGGCTGCGCAGGGGGCAGCCAGTCAGCGATTCTCTCTCATCACTGATGTTTCTCTCTCTCCCTCTCCCTTCCTCTCTGAAATCAATAAAATATATTTTTTAAAGTCCATGGTGGCCGAGAACACACAGGCATTCTCCAAACTGAAGCAAAGGGAGCCTCTCTCGGTGCTCATTTGCATGTGATTATCCCTTCCGGGCGAAGGGTGCTCCACATGATAATCAAACTCAGCAAGACAAGACTTTAAAGCAGCGGTTCTCAACCTGTGGGTCGCGACCCCTTTGGGGGTCGAATGACCCTTTCACAGGGGTCGCCTAAGACCATCGCAAAACACATATATAATTACATATTGTTTTTGTGATTCATCACTATGGTTTAATGATGTTCAATTTGTAACCATGAAAATACATCCTACATATCAGATATTTACATGACGATTCATCACAGTAGCAACATGACAGTGATGAAGTAGCAACGAAAATAATTTTATGGTTGGGGGTCCACCACATGAGGAACTGTATTGAAGGGTCGCGGCATCAGGAAGGTTGAGAACCACTGGTTTAAGGACACACGACTGACTGTCAGCTGGGGGGACACAGAGCCTGAACAGCTCTCGCTGTAGCACCCTCCCGTGTCGGGGTCCTGGGGCACCCAGCCTGCCCCTCGCTGTCCCTAAGGCCGAGTTTGGGGCGCAGCTGGGGCCCGTTATAAAGGGGTGTTGTCGGGTCACCCGTGAGCTTTCCCGAAAACCGCAGGCCCACGGGCTCCGAGTCCCAGGTGCATGGAGCAAGTACCTTTATCTCCAGTTCCTCCAAGCGACTGCCCTTCCTGTTTGAAACGCCTGCAGCGCCCTGGCCGGTGTCGCTCAGTGTCGGCCCTCGAACCCAAGGGTCCCGGGTTTGGTTCTGGTCAAGGGCACGTACCTCAGTTGCAGGCTCGATCCCCAGCCCTGGTTGGAATTCATGCGGGAGGCAACCAACCGATGTGTTTCTCTCACACCGATGTTTCTCTCTCTCTGTCTCTCTCCCACCCTTCCACTCTCTCTAAAAATCAATGGAAGAATGTCCTTGGGCGAAGAATGAATGAATGAATGAATGAATGAATGGATGAATGGATGAATGAATGAATGGATGAAATGGTCCATACCTTGGACTCGACAGTTTCACACCAAGGGACTCAACTTGAAGAAATAATCATAGATGTTTACATTAGAAGCTCACGCTGTCCACGCCCCCCACTAAGGCATCACCCCCAAGCCTGGCCCAGCGCTGACTCAGCGACAGCCCTCCATCCGAGGGGCTCACACAGCAGCCCACACCCGGCCTGCGATGAGCTGGCGACAGAAGGGGCCGAGCTCCTCTCCTCTGGGAGCTCCCATCTGGAAACCGGATCACGTTAAGCCGCCGAGGTAAGTGGCAACCACACCAGGGCCAGTGGCCATGCGGGACCAAGCTCAACTACACATCAGCAGGTGAGCTGTGTGATGAATTTTTATTGTAATAATAATAATTGTAAAACAAATGCAAACGTTCTGGGTAAGAAGTAACCTGAGGGGGTGGGTAGGAGCTTCCTGAGCCCACGCAGAGCCTCCGCCCAGCAGGTCCCTGCTCAGACCACAATCACTGGTTTCTCTCCCACAGGTTCCTTTCAGAGCCGCACAGAAACAACCGGGTATTGACTTACATCACTTGCTGCCAAAACAGTAACACCTTGTGTTTGCAAAACACACTTGGGTGGAGGCGGCGCTGCGGGCACAGAGCTGTGCGGGGGCCGCACCGGCCACCAGGAGGCGGCGCTGCGGGCACAGAGCTGTGCGGGGGCCACACTGGCCACCAGGAGGCGGCGCTGCGGGCACAGAGCTGTGCGGGGGCCGCACCGGCCACCAGGAGGCGGCGCTGCGGGCACAGAGCTGTGCGGGCCGCACCGGCCACCAGGAGGCGGCGCTGCGGGCACAGAGCTGTGCGGGGGCCGCACCGGCCACCAGGAGGCGGCGCTGCGGGCACAGAGCTGTGCGGGGGCCGCACTGGCCACCAGGAGGCAGGGCTCCGACCGTCCGAAACCGACCACCTACCGGGTGGGCACTCGCGAAGGGGCGGTGCATTTTTATTTTATTTGTCAATGTTTTTATTGATTTTAGGGAGAGAGGGAGAGAGAGAAACCTCGACGAGAGGGAAACACTGATCAGCCGCCTGCTGTACACCCTCTACCAGGGATGGAGCCGGCAAGCCAGGCAGGTGCCCTCCAGGTTCATAGGTGATGCTCAACCACTGAGCCACCGGCTGGCACATTTCCACGTTATTCCTGTGTTATTTCTAGCTAGCTCCACCTTAAAGTGTGGGTCTGAAGCAGCAGACCACTGAGAAAACGGGGTGTGGGAGAGAAGATGGAGGGAGCGGCTGGCCTCCCCTCTCTGGGACCCCGATTCCCTCAGGCTGGAGCACGGTGAGAAGCCCTGGAGCCACGCAGAAGGTCCCGTGTGAGAGGACACGTACGTTGGACGGAAACCTCCCCCGTCCATGCAGGAGGCACAGCCGCACCTGGCCCCGCTCACTGCCTGGCCCCCCTCACTGCCTGGCCCCCCTCACCGCCTGGCCCCGCTCACCGCCTGGCCCCCCTCACCACCTGGCCCCGCTAACGGCTGGCCCCCCCTAACGGCGGGACCCCCCAAAAAGATGGCCCCCAAAAATGGAGGGACCCCAAAGATTGGTGTTTCACGAGAAAAGGGGTTTCCCCTGACTGGCCCCTTCCCGGATTGGAGGAGACCGAGAATTGTCGGGACCGTCCATTAC